TATAAAATACTTTTTTTTTTTAACAGATTTTACAAGAGGCTAGATTCGAACCCTAGCCCTGGGGGAGGGGAGAATGCACCATGAGTGGCTATTACTACTTGGTCCGAAGGGCTCGGTGCATAAAATACTTTTTTCTTAAACAAAAAGAAGTATAATATTTTGATGATATCTCCATGAGTATGATTTGAAAGAAAAGGATGGAAAGCATCTGGATTAGAGGCCTAATGACATTAATTATTAAAGAGATGCACTTCTCCTGTTTTGAGCAAGTTTTTTGAGCAAATTTCGAATTCGTTTCATGTTAAAATATTTAGAAAATAAAAAGAAAACTTTTGGATATATTAAATTATAATATTTAAAAATATTATAATTTATTTAATTTAAAAACACATCATACGTATTTTTTAATATAAATAGGTTACCGACATATTGATCGGATTAGAGGAACCCTCTGACGTAAAATTTTGATTTCCAAGATTTGTAGTCATGGATGACGATATACGCACACCATGATGCAGTTTCTTGGCATCAATTAATGTCAGTTACATGTTATAATTTAAACTGTATATATTGTTTATTGAAAGGATAATTTATTTTATAAATTTATTAAAATATTTTTAATAAAATATATTATATTAAAAATAATTTAATAAATTAACAAACAATACATTTTATTATTCAGATAATTTATCATGTAAAATATTTTTTTATTTGAAAAAAAGAAGAAGATATTTTAACATTAAAAATATTAAAATATTTAATAATAATTATATAACAAATTTAATAAAATTAAAATTTATTACACATTACATATTTAATAATTATAATTAAATATCTAATAATTTCAATATCAACATGAGTTCTTTCTTTTCTTCTTATTTTGTTAATTAATATTAAATTATCAATTGCTCTGTGGAGTTGTGATCGAGCTAAAAGCGTGGTTGTAGTTGCACCTTGTAATAGGGGTGGACATTTGGGTGAGTAATCGAAGGATTATTTGAAAATTGAATTGAAAAAATAAATTTAATTTAATTTTAATGGTTTTTAAAATTTATTATTTTGGTTTTAATATCAACCAAATAAATTTTGATTTGATTTTAGTTAAATTTTTCATAAATCAAAAATAAAAAATAATAATAAGAAAATAAATAAAATATAATAAAATATAAA